TACCAATTTGCGCGCTTAGGGTGACAGTTTTGGTTTCTCAAATCGTCCGCCCTTTCTGATATCTCTCTTCCTCTTCCATCAAATATTGTGATGTTGGTACTCTAATTGTTGTTGAAATGTGTTGTGTTTGTATCTAATATTCTAGCCCTAGGCTAATATAATTCCACCATCAGAAGCTAACTGATATTTGGTGAAAATTGATAGAATGTAATAAAATAATAAGGGGAGATAATGGTGTCTGGAAGGAATTGGTGAAAGTTGTGGATAATAAAATTTGAAAGATTGTATCGAGGGATTAAAGAAGATCTGATGTGTTTGAGTCAATTATTTAATGTAATTTAGTCTCTATAAAGACCTAATATTATTATTATCGTTAAAATTCTCTCATAATTCACATTCGTACTGGAATATTAAACAGACTGTTGTATTTTATAGAAATCTTCTGGGACCATACAGACTGTTGCATTTTTTTCATCAGAATGTTGTTTTTATTATTCATACTAGTTCTGTTTCAGTCCGGTTTTTTAGTAGCCTATAACAGTACACCATATTTCAAGGCATTGTTTTATATAAGTACGAAAGTACGTTTCATCATTAAAAAAATGACATGACGTCACGTCATCAAAGTTTACGTCACGTCATCGGACATAGCGTCATGTCATCAAACGCTACGTCACGTCATAAAACGCTACTTCACGTCATCAAACGCTACTTCACGTCATCAAAAGCGACGTCCCATCGTCACACATCATAAACTTAACGTCACGTCATTACATTGATAATGTATTAGAAAACTAGGACTAATGACAAGAAAGTTTTCCATAAGTTGACTTTAGTCAATATATATTCAGTCAATCGTGAGTCTGAGATCAACGGTTGTAGCTTGCAGACTTTGTCCAATCTTATAATGAATTTACGACAGTTAAATGTTTCTACTCGAGGGAAACTGGCAATATTTCTCTTATTGATTACCACTTTAATAACTTCTGACAGTAAAAATTCTCAATTAACAATATGACTATTTAGATGTCGGTTATTCCACAAATTATAGACACCAACAATCTTATATCATTATAGTAGAGAAGTTTTATGTCTCCGGGAAGCCTCGTTACAAGATGAATTATTGTGTAGAGAATCGTCCAATATTATTTCTATCATTTTCTATTTCCATTAACCAAACAAAATATTTCATTTCAATTTCATCTCGTGAGCAATAAAACAGACCAATAATCTACAAATATGTTTTTACCTCCAGCGCTTTATTAGTTTAATAAATCACGATATTTTTAATATTTTCTTCAACGATTTGATTTTAATCTGAAAATATTAGGCAATGTGGTTTTATTCTTTTTATATTTGTTATTGATAAATGTCTGTTTCGTATAAAATTATTATCATTTTGTCTAAGAATGTAACTATTATCTTTGTTATGTAAAGTGAAATTTTTACTGTAAACCATCATGTTATAAAAGGAGGAAATTACCAACAGAAAAATATAAATTCATTAAAGGGACAGATGCGCCTTTTGGGAGGTTTACTTTAGTCTTGAATATTTGTAAATAGTCTTCAGAAGTACTAGAAATGCACGAAAATCACATAATTCCTTTAAAAATATACATCTTTTTAACATTCAATCACCGATAATTCTGGACACACATGGATTTGATGGTTCAAATTTCGACGGTGAACACTATTACTGATTGGCTCAGTTAAAAAAAAAAATCCGTTTCCGAGACTAAAGTATGATTGGTCA